GCAGGGGTGTGTGTGTGTGTGTGTGTGTGTGTGTAAGGGCAGAGAAAAGGAATAGACAGCCAGCGGGGCTGGGATGGGGGTTCTGGACCAGAGATGAAGGTGGCAATGTGGGTGTAAAGGTGCCAGAGTCACATTCCAGTGGTGTAGAGCCAACAAGCTAAGGGGGTGCAGACAAGAATCATGGTGACTCCTTGATTTCTGCCCTGAGATACAGGGGTGATGAGGACTCTTGGGGGAGGGGCATAGTGGGGGGTGGGGTGGTGGTGGTAGTGGTGGTGGTGAAAGCAAGATCTACTACATCAAGCAGCTGGAGGGGGCTTCTCTGGGTAAAGGGGGTGGAGCAGTAGGGCCTTCCCTCCCTGCCGGTGCCCCCCATCTCTCTGCAGCCTGGCAGGATCCCCACGGGCACTGTATGGAGCCTGGAGGCGTGGGGCCTGGCAGGCAGGAGGAGCACTACAAGTTGCCACCTTTGGGGATAAAACAAGTAAGGCTCAGAGAGCTTAAACCACTTCTCCTCTGGTCAGTGGGCCAGAGCATGGAGAAAGAGGGAGGCGCATCCGAATCGGAACGTGTTCTCGCCTTGGCTGGAACAGTGCCAAGGCCTTCTTGCAGCCCTTGGTGGCTGAGCGGGGAGGTTTGCAGACCGCCACCCCAGGCACAGGCTGACCCGGGGGCCCCTTCCCAGCCAGGGCTCACCACCAAGCCCAAACCTGGACGCCCTCCTCCTGACCTCACCCACCCATGGCATGTGACCTCCCTCGGGCCCAGGCTGGGGAAGACTTTGTCCTCAGCCCAGCTGACCCTGATCCGATCAGCTGGGGAATTAGCAGGGCACTGGAGGCCAGTACCCCCAGGCCCACTAAGCCTCTTGCCTGGCCTCAGGGGAGCCGACGGCCTGGGGGGCACATTCTCCTTGCAGCAGGGTCGGGCCTCGGCTCCACGCATTCTGAGGGCTGGGGCCGCCTTGTTCCTGCACAGAGGTCCTGCCTGTGTGCCTGGATGAGGCTCTGAGGAGTGAGGTCACACAGGTCAGGCCAGGTCACCCCCCACACTTAGCAGCACCCCCAGCTGCCCCTCAGACCCATGCCCAGCTGCCCTGGCCTGGACCCTCACTGGTCAGGCTCCCTGGGGTCTCCCTGTCCCACCCCACATGCCCCTCTTCTGGCTGTAATATCCTGGTGTCCGCCAGGGCCCAATCCTTCCAGCACCAACTGCAGATTCCTGGTCCATCCCTCAGGCCTCTGCTTCTAGCCTTCAGACCAGGACCCAGGGAAGAGGCAGGGCCCTCTTCCAAACCACTCTCCCACCCTTGTCTCCGGCCCCCAGCACCTCACAGGACCACCCACAATGCCCTCCTTAGGGCAGGGCCTGGGAGAGTCGGCCTGCTCCTGGATCCCTCTGCTTCTCCCACACCAACTCCTGGCCCTGCACCGTCCACACAAAGCAGCCTTTCAGCACCTGGCCTCTGGGGGCCCTGACCTTCTCTCTTCCCACGATCCAGCCTTGCCCTTCACCACTGTACTGCCTCCCCCAGCCTTGGGAACACTGCCCAAATCAGAGCAGATCAGCTGTTGATTGGGCCCTGTCCCTGGCCGCCCGTCTGTCTCTGTCGGAGCAGAACTGTAGTCCACGGAGGCGCGCGCGCGTGTGTGTGTGTGT